TCCACCCTCTCTCCCCGCCGACGCGCTAGGCGGGGCAGACCGGGACCGGGCGACCCTGGGGTCGAAAGCGTTCTGGCGCGCAGCGGGGTGCTGGGTCGCGGGCCGCGGGCGTCAGGGTTCCAGAGTCTGGTCTGCGGCTGCCCATCCTCTCCTTAGGTGGCGCCTCCTCGTGGCGCACTAAGCGATCACTTGTTAGGTTACCTCTTGCGCGGGGTGGGGGGCCTCTCTGAGCCCGGAGTCACTCACCCTGAGCCGGGTCAGGGGATTCCCTGGGCTCGAGAGGGAGGAAACTTCCCTTTGACCTCGGAGGTCGTGTACTGCGTGCGCGTGCGACGGCATGAAGGGCACTTCTTCATTTTTCGAGATGCTTTCCATAAATTTATTTGACTTGCAAACAGTCCTGGGTGGTGAGTAGTCGTGAGCCCCACGTTATAGACGAAGCAGCCCAGAAGGTGAAGAACACCTGCCTGTGAGTCCAGAGGAACTTGAAACCCAGAAGGAATTACCCTCTTCCAATTCCAGGAGGAGGGTGGGGAGACGTGGAGAAGAAAGGAATTCTAGCCACTGTGAGCCCTCGGGGAAACCCCTTTGCCTCCAACAGATGGCCCTGCAGCAAAGGAGCTACCAGGGTAGGGGAGCGCCACTGTACTAGCGGAGCTTAAATCAGTGTCATTGCATTTCTCCGGAAATTTTCGGAAGTTTTCCAGGCATTTGATTTTAGAAACCACATATGGCCCTTCTCTGGCCACACTTGTTTATCCAGTACCCTCTCGGTTTCGTGCCCTGACATGCGTTCTTGGGAGGTTCCCTGGGCCCACGCCCCTGGAATACCCTTTCCTGTTTCCTTGGGGAGATAACACTAAAGCCTTGAAACCAGCTCAGGGCCATCCCTGCAATGACGTTTATAGCACGTCCTCTCCATTCAGGTGCTCATACAATAGTGCATGGATGTCGAGGTTCTTTGGCATTATTTACAGGTTCTTTTTGTGTCACTGCCCCCAGACTTAGGCAAACAACATCTTGCTCACTTTTGTATTTCCAGCTCTGGCAGTGCTTGGTGCACGGTAGACATCCCAGTGTTTGGTAACCAATGAAGAATGTGGGTAGAGGCTCAAAGTCCCAGGAGGGAGAGGCTGTTTACACTGGGTTCCACAGATGAATAGTCACACTAGATGGTTGCATTATGGTTAAAGCGACTGGATCCCACATGACCGACTGCATGGTTTGAGTCCTGGACCCAGTGGCTTGAGAAACATGCCTGGTATGAGTGTGTGTGTGCCCATAATCTGGAAAGGAGGAAAGAATGGAGAGGGGATTGCAGTGTGATGGTTTCCTGTGGAAGATCCTTTCTCTCTCCCTCTCTGTCTCTTTCCTGCAAGCGCTTGTGCCCTCTGACAAAAAAAAAAAAAAAAATCTAGACATTAATTGTCTTATACCACAGCTAATAGCTACTGCTATGTGGCTAGTTCAAATTGAAATGCTCTTTAAGTGGATTTCAAAGACATAGTACGAGAAAGAGGGTGTAAAATAACTCATTAATTTTTATATTGTGGCTGGACAAGTGGCACAATGGTAAGATGTGACACTCTGCAAGGCTGAACAATGTGGGAAGTTACACATCTGGGGACCTTCCTGAGCACATGTGTGCCCATGTTCTGAGGCTGCCTGAGGTTGAGGGTGTATCACGGCATCAAGACCTTGTTCTCTGTCTCTTTTGTTCACAGAATAAATAAATGAACTTTAAAATAATTAGTTTTTATATTAATTACATGTTGAGGGAACCAGCAGTTAGCATAATGGCTATGTCGCTGGACTCACACGTAGTCGACCGCGGTTCGAGTCCCGGACCCGGTGGCTTAAAACTCACGCCGGGCTCGTGTGCATGCGTGCCCAAGATCCCAAGAGGAGAATGGAGGAGAAGGGGTTGCGGCGTGACCATCCCCCCTGGGGGGTGATTTCTCGCTTTCTGTCTCTATGTCTCTGTCTGGCAAGTGCATGCGCCCTCTAGCAAAAATCTCTCAAAAAAAATTACATGTTGAAATTTCACATTTTCGTATATCAAGCTAAATAAAAGATAATATTAAAATTAATGTTGGGCCAGCCAGTGGTATGGTGGTTAAGGCACCTGGATCCCACACGGCCAACTATGCAGGTCAAGTCTCAGACTTAGCAGCTTGAGAAATACACTGGGTGTGTGTGTTCATGCCCAAATCCCGACAGGGGAATGGAGGGAAAGGATTGCACCTTAGCCAGCCCCCCTTGGGGGTCATTTCTCACAGCACCACTCCATGTTTCTCTGGTGAGTGCACTGCCCTGTAAGAAACTTTAAAATTTTTAAATTTCACCTGCTTTGTGAACTTTTAAAGGTGGCTGCTAGAAAAATTTTAAATTACAGATTTGTCTGGGCATATGCGTGATCTTCAATAAGTTCATGGAAAATATATTATGGAAAAAAACATATATAGATTTCACATTCCTTTTGCAACATTAATTCCGGTGTTTCATGAACTTATTTTTTAGGCAGGAGAGAGGTTTTTTTTTGTTTTGTTTGTTTGTTTGTTTGTTTGTTTTTGCTATAGGGCTTGTGTGCTTGCCAGAGAGACAGAAAGCGAGAAATCACTCCGTGGGGAGATGGCCACACCACAATCCCTTCTCCTCCATTCTCCTCTTGGGATCTTGGGCACGCACGCACAGGTGCCTGGCGAAATTTTTGAAGTCCTCGTATGTACCTAGAAACTCCAATCAAGAAAGGACCACTGAAGGATAAAGAGGAGAACCTATACGAAGAATGGGTTTCACCTTGTCCTGCCTGAACTCGATGTTGAAACGCTGATAGAGCACTTCACATTAGAAGCTTAACTGTTCTCGATATTGCTGGGGTATGAGGCAATCTGGAAAGTAGAGTGCAACTTAAAAATTAACTTAAGTGGACCAGCAGTTGGTGTAATGGCTATGTCACTTGTCTCCCATGTAGTCAACCACAGTTTGAGTCCTGGACCCAGTAGCTTAAACTCATGCCAGGCGCGTGGGCATGAGAGGAGGGCTGAGGAGAAGGGATTGTGGTGTGGCCATTCCCCCTGGGGGGTGATTTCTCGCTTTCTGTCTCTCTGTCTCCCTCTCTTTCTGGCGAGTGCACACGCCCTATAGCAAAAACCTCTTTCTTAAAGAAAAGTTAACTGAAGTGTTGAGTGTCTTATAGGAGAAACAATTTAAATTACTGGTTAATCAGAATAGTTTGACACTTGGGAAGAAAAAGGGGAAGCACCCCAAAGTAGATAATACTGATCTTTAGAAAACAACTCTCAGAAAAGGAATGGAAACATACTCAGAGCAATTGTTTACTCAGTGCACACCTTCTCATTCTCCTCCTGCTTCCCCCCTCTGTTTCTCTGTTTCTTTTTTTTTTTGAGAGAGAGAGAGAGGTTTTTGTTTTGTTTTGTATTTGCAGGGCACCTGTGCTCACTGAAACACAAAGACAGAGAAACAGAAAGTGAGAAGTTACCCCCCAGAGGGGATGGTCATCCCTTTTCCTCTATTCTCTTGGGATTTTGGGGCACGCATGCACACGTGCCTGGCATGACTTTCAAGCTACTGGGTCTAGGACTCGAACCACAGTCAGCCACATAGGAGTCCAGGTATGTAACCATCACACCATCTGTTGATCCCCCTCCCTATGTTTCTAATTCTCTTTTTTTCTCTCTACAAACTCCAGCTGACTAAGAAGAAAAGTCACTTTGAGTTGGGCCAATTAATTTTATTTTTTCAATTTACATATAACAAAATTGCTTATCTTTGTGGTGTACAGTTTATGAATTTTAGCACACATGAAGATTCTTTTTTTTTTGGAGAGGTTTCTTTTTTACTATAGGGCGCGTGCAGACAGAGAGAGACAGAGAGACAGAAAGCGAGAAATCACCTCCCAGGGTGGATGGCCACGCTGCAATCCCTTCTCCATTCTCCTCTCGGGATCTTGGGCACACACGCACACGTGCCTGGCGTGAGTTTTAAGGCACCAGGTCCGGGACGCGAACCGCGGTCGACTATGTGGGAGTCCAGTGACATAGCCATTATGCTAACTGCTGGTCCCACACATGAAGATTCTTGTAACTACCATCACAATGAAGATACTGAGTAGTTCCATCACCCCCAAAACTCTCTCTTGCTGCCTGTCAGTGGTCACACTGTCCCCCTCTCTGGCAATCATTACTCTGTTCTTGGTAGATTGTCTCTTTTTTCCATAGTGCCATATGAATGGAATCATGTGGCATGTAACCTTAGGTCCGTTGAATTTTACCAGAGTTAAAGCAGCTACCTTTGCCAGGGAATCTAGTCATAACTGTACATTACTTGTAAAGTTGATGGGCCATGGAAAAGCCAGATAGAATGCATAAGAATAAGATATCCTGGACCACAACTTCTTTTTTCTTTTAAGATTTATTTTAATTATTTAACTTATTCATTCTTTCATTCATTTTGTAACTTGACGAGAGAGAGAGAGAGAAAGCAAGCCACCAGGTCCAGGATTTGAACCGTGGTCGACCATGTGGGAGTGTCCAGTGCCCCAACCACCACCATGCCACCTGCTGGTCCCGTGTACCACTACTTTTTAGGTTAACTAGAGATTAAGCACGATCCCTTTTCTAGTTTGGTCACTTGGTAATCTCTCTAAAATAGGAGCCCTCATTTTTTCCCCCTTAGCAAATAGGGCCTAATGGGCACAAACTTTTTTCCTCT